GGTAGGTGGGAGAATTGGATGGTCCTTGGAAAAAATTTTGTGGAGGTGGGTTCGGCGAATACCCTTGTGGATTGGACGGGGGGTATTGAGAGCTAGACGCTTGACCTTGGCCTTAGTATTGACTTTGTTTAGGAGGTGAATATGCATTAGAACCATGAGAAGTGAGATTCTCATTTCTCCAACTAAATTTCGAGTGATTATTCCAACCCAAATTCTAAGTGTTTGAGTGCAGGGAGAATGATTGTCTTGTTTGGTTAAAGTTATTGAGTTGCTCATGGTACACTTCCTTAAGTGCCGGAATGTTAAGGCACTCCGATATGGAATTCTCCACACTCTCACAAATTGAGCATGATTCCTTGGTCTTTGAAATATTGGACACCTCATGTTTACTATTGACCTTAAGACTCTCAAATTTCTGGGATAATTTGGAAATTTTGGAAAACAAGTCTTCCTGGTCCTTCAAATCATACTTTCCCCCCATGTGGTTGATTACTACTCAGAGACGACCTCGGTACATCGGTGGGATTCATAATATCTCAAGATTGTGCATTTTGTGCCAATGTATCAAAGTATTCTAGGGCCTCATCAGGGTCTTTGTTCAAAACTCCCTATTACACATCATATCGATGAACTGTCGATGGCCTGGTGTGATTCCTTCATAGAAGAAACTTACCAATTGCCATGGTTCAAAGCCATGGTGTGGAATGAATTGTAGTAATTCCTTGTAGCGATTCCAACATTGGTAGAATTGCTCATTGGACTTCTACGAAAAGTTTTGAATTTGCCTTTTAAGAGTGGTGGTTTTAGGCACCCGAAAAAATTTGTTTAAAAACTCGAAGAGCATTTGAGTTCAAGAGGTTATGGATCGAGGCTTCAAGAAATTCAACCATGTTTTTGCCTTATCTTTCAGGGAAAAGGGGAATAATTTTATTCTAGTTATGTCTTTCATACCATGATTAGTGAGGAAGGTTGCAACTATTTCCTCGAATTCCTTTATGTGCAAGTAGGGATTTTCCCTTTCAACTCCATGGAATGTAGGAAGTAGTTGCAACATTCCAGACTTAACTAGGAAGGCATGAACATGGACCGGTAAGACAATATATGTGGGGGTAGTGCTTCTTGTCGGTTAAAAGTAATCCCTTATTGACCTCGCCGGAGGATCAATTGGGATGTTGTTCCCTTCATTCACATGAGGGAGGAATTGCATTCGAGGATTAGGCATTCTAGCGTCTTGCACTCCCCCGCCCCCCTTTAAACGTTCGGATTGACACCTACATTCTCAAAATTATCACCCGCATCCTCGGGTGGGTCTTGGTCAATGTTCATGTTGGGGCCTAAAGTTTGTCTAACCAATCGATTTTGTTCGTCCTGTCCCCACATACAAAACACTATCTACAAATGAAAAGACAAGTAAACAAAAGTATATACAAGGAGCAACGTACCTCAGCCCATGATGAAAATCATGGGACTTACCTCCGTTGTCCGAAAATCACTTTCTTAATTCAACGCTTTACTTTCCCTGGCAACGGAGCCAAAAATGCTTGGTTTTATTCGTCGTATGCCCTAATCTCCGTATATCACCCTCAAATGTGTATATGAATTTTGAGTGTAGGTGAGTGTCACTCTCTCAGAATGATGCGGGAAATGGGACAAATGTGTGTGTGGCATGAAATGTGTGTGTGTGTGTGTGTACAAAAGTACTCTCAAAGCGTAGAGGGACTTTCGAGGGTCGTGTTTTACTTGGAATTTATATTCCAAGATCGTCTCTTCAGGGAAGGAATGGAATTATGTTGAAGGTGATTTTGGTGAAAAAGGAAAGTGTAAAAATCTTTGAGTTTGAGTTTTGGTGAATTGTGTTTTTGATGAGAATGAAATGAGAACAAGTGTTGGCTAATCCAAAGAGGTCATTCTATTGGGAATGCAAAATCAACCCAAGACCTTCCTCTAATGGTGCCTAGATGTTTGATTGATTCGTAGGAAGCGAGGGACTAAAATGGAGGTGAGGATTCAAGCATACCCTGTGATAAGTCTATGGCGTATCAAGAACTCACAACCATGTCCACTTTCAACCTAGTCAAACCATATCATCGTACACTACGAGAAGTAATGAAAAAAGGTTAATTTAGCATACCCAAGAGGAACTCTCCCTTGGTTAGCCAACTTGAAGCTTAGCTACTCATATTTAATGCAAGAATATAAATAAAGAAAAGAGACATTGTAAAGAAATGAAGATTGGAGCTTGGATTGATACAAGAAATCTTAAACTATGAAGAAAAACATTCAATATCCATTTTAAAGACTTGAAATGAAGAAAACTTAATACAACAATGGTGAAATTCAAAATGTAGAACTAAACTTGCAATGTACTTGTAATAAATGACATTAAAGACATTAAATGAAGTTTACACAAGTCTTATAGGAAACTGCAAGTGAAATGGATGGAAGAAAATGCAAAAACATAAATTTCTCTCATTAGAACTTCATCTTCTTCTTTGAGCTTCTCTCTCTACAATGCAATACAATCTGAATAATTCTCAATGAATGCCTGCATTTTCGTCTATGAAGCTTCCCCTATGTGTGTGGCAGACCTCCTATGCATAGGAGGCTGTTGGCGGGGCTTACAATTTATGGTCGCCATAACGGATTGAGGCGACTTAATAGTAATTACATAACTGATCTGGATGACATGGCGGCCTCTTCTCAATTGATAAGACAGTTACAATACTCTCCATAAGACTCGGTCAAAGGATGAGGTGAGGGTTGACTTTTTCTAAGACAGCGAGAATGAGGCTCTGGGATGACCCTTATTCCAAGTTGGCTAGGAGGAAGCTTTTGGATGACCCTTATTTCACGGTGGCTAGGAGGAGGCTCTTGAATGACCCTTGCACGCTCCCCTGCTAATATAGCTCCTCGAACTTGATGACCCTTGACTGAGTATGGACCACTTTGGGCTCTGGATGTCTTGAAGTTGGACTCTTATTTTAAACTGGGCTCGTAGCATGAGTTGGGCTCTTGGGCCTGGCCCATCACTTTCCTCTAGTGAGATGTGACTTCCCTTTATTTGAGGTAAGAATGGTCGGCAACACTACTAAGTAACTTTTAATATTTTTTTGAGCAATTTTACAGTTATATTACTGGTTTGTGCTATAGCATTAAGTTTTAAAACCTAGTAGGGATTGCTGTTCTTGTTCAAAAAAGTTGTATGATTAAAAACAAATGTGGAATATTGGATCCATTAGTTTACGCACTTGGGGTTGTCACATTTAATTTACCAGTTGTGATTGTCACTATAGAGAGCATTTTTAGCTATGAAAATTGTAAAGACGTGACTAACTGAATGTATGATAAATGGATGATTGATAAGACATTGCATATATGTAGAGAAAGACATTTTTGACGGCATTAATAACAAAGTTATCATGTAATACTTTCAAAGGATTAAAACTCGTTGTGGTCAATTGTGAATGACTATAATTAATTTCATTTTTTGTAATTAGTTATAAAATGTTTGTGCTTATAACACATGCTTTCTGAGATTCACTATGAAATTTTGCAGAAACGGCATTGCATCCNTTATAATTAATTTCATTTTTTGTAATTAGTTATAAAATGTTTGTGCTTATATAACACATGCTTTCTGAGATTCACTATGAAATTTTGCAGAAACGGCATTGCATCCATCATATTTCTTACTCATATCACCTTCTTGTGAATATGAATTTTTTGTCCTTGTCCTCCTTTAGTCAGAAAGTAATTAATCGTACGAGGCTCATAACGCTTTTCTTGTCCAAAACTAAAGATCCACTTCGGAATCCATATTCCATAAACAACTCTGCTGCAGTCCTGGGGCTTTTCTGTGGCTAACTGTCTATAAATGCATAGCATGAGCCCTGTTTTGACAACTAAACATTTCCAAGATTGTTTTGGAATGTGATTGGATCTAACCAATTAGATGCATAATCAACCCCAGAAATCGACCATTAATCCAATTTTTGTACCTTTACAGGATTGACATCAACTGAAAACTTTGTGACCACAAAACTTATTAGCAGGCGCTCCTCTGTTTCTTATCATACACATGACCAGCGACATCATTATCTGATGTTCCATGCTAAGTTCATCAGTGCTGCAAAATGCTGATAAATGCACTATAAAGAATCCACATTTTTTGTTCCTTTTCTTTCTTTTTCTCTTTCTTTTTTCCATTTTCTGCATCAAAAAAGAAAGAACAAAAAAGAAATGAGCTTGGTGTAGGTGGTAAACTACCATGACCAAACAGATAAGTTCCTTACGGATAAAAAGTTCGGCCTAGAATAACATCTCATTTGCTGTATAAATGAATGATTATTGGCAGGTGGTTAAGTTCATCTAATTTTGAGTCTACACAAAAATAATTGCCCATTTTCATAAGCAGCCTGATTCATAAGGTTTGTTACTTTCAATCAACTCTTCTATGTAAACGCCTTGTATAGGTTTTCTTATAAGGCTCCATTAGGCATGAGGAAATCTTTATTTAACAATGCATGTGTACACCAGCTTCCCCATGAAAACTATACCAAAATCCAATTGAGACGTTTTTTAATCATGTTTTGTTGTAGCATATATAGATTGTCGAAAAAACAAATCAATCTTCGTGCAATGAAAACACCAAATTTGAATGATTATATTATATATTGGCTTTTTGAAACAGCATGCTGGCATAAAAATCACATAATGGTTCGGTTGTTAAGAAAGCATCTATTTCATCCTTTAGAATCTCATGTTCTATAGGTAAAACACATCTTAGCATTACCATTTCTAGGAATTAACTATACTGTATCCTGGTCTAATGTGTCGAAGCATGTTTGACAAGCAATATGATGTTTAGTTTATGTCCTTTTATAACTTGAGTTTTTACAGATATAATGCTGAATTATGTATTACACTTTCTGTAGTATTTACCAAAATTCCTTCCTGAGAATTTCGAGCATAATAAAAACCTCTTTGAGCGGGTTCAAGAAATGGCTGCAAAGAAGGAATTCACCTCATTACAACTAGAATTGGCATGGGTCAACCACGAAGGGGACGACGTGGGTCCCATTCCTGGTACCACCAAGATTGAAAACCTCGATCAGAACATTGGAGCTTTGTCTGTAAAACTCACAACTGNGATTCACCTCATTACAACTAGCATTGGCATGGGTCAACCACGAAGGGGACGACGTGGGTCCCATTCCTGATACCGCCAAGATTGAAAACCTCGATCAGAACATTGGAGCTTTGTCTGTAAAACTCACAACTGATGAAATGGTCGAGCTCGAATTTGTCGCTTCTGAAGTTAAAGGTGATAGATATCCAGCTACATTGGGTACTTGGAGGACTGCAAATACTCCGCCCTTGTCCTCATGGAAAGCTGAATAGTGACACACCTTATGCTGTTTGCAAATACTGCCATTGCGTCTTTGGTTAATAAATCTGTACTTGTGCTTGAGGTGGGTTTTGAATCTGTGATTGGTTCCTACACAAAATTATGCTTTCTGAACTTGCATTTTCTGTTAAAGCTAAAAACTGCTGTGCAATGCTAGGAGTTTTATTATGATCAGGTTTTCCTTTGTCCCTAAAGTAGTAGAAGAATGCTATGAATATAGCATTACAAGAAAGTGGTGGCAACCATTCTTGTTATTTTAGCCTCTCCAAATTATTCTGCAGTTTGTATCATTGTTGTGAACAATCAATAAACAAAAGCTATAAGGATTGCAAAACACCTGATTTACGTGGTTCGTTAAAAATTCTACCTACATACACAAGAGCAGCTGGTTTCACTCTATGAGAGTTCCACTAGGGCTAAAACTTATTTATAGGCATCCACCAAGAAAGCAAATTTGCTCCCACTCAATCATGCTCAACTTCGTTCAGGTGGTTTCCATCCTAACCAAAGTCTCTTTAACCCTAGCTATTCGGGTTTGGATGATTTCAAATCATGTATTATTGGTGGTTATCAAAATATCCCACATCACTCGGGTGCTTTGGTTTGGCTTTGTTTCAAGAACTAAAGCTTAAAAAAAAAAAGTAATTTTTTCCAAGTTAGATCAGTTGGCCAGGACTTTGGAACTTCGATTGGAACAACATTTTGAGGTCCGAATACCTCAACGTGATTCCTAAGGTGTCACTTGGAGATTCCCTTCATTTTTGGCTTATAATGAATACTTATCAATAGGTGATATACAACAACAAAAACAAAAAAACAAAAAAACAGAACCAAAAGCATATGTCTTATAGTGTACCATTTGACGACTTCTTTATGATTAGTTGCTTACTTTTGTTTAATCAAAAAGTAATTTCATAAAATTTATTTTTAATTAGTATTGTAGAAAACTGATCTAAATATAACCGTATTTAAATGATATACTTATATGTATTATTGGAGACAATGCACCCGTGAATCAAGCACTAATTACTAAGCATGATTAGTTCTCCTTGAATATTCTATTCACATGTAACAACTGTACATGCTCTTGCTTATTTGAGTGAGATTACCAAAAATCCTCTGCCATTGCCTTTCTCTTCTTGGTATCAGAGCCTATCAAGACAAACATCCAAAATTTTCCAATGGCCTCAACCACACCTGTTGTCTCATTAATCTCATCCACCTCCTCTACAACGTCCCAAACTTCTACCCTCATAGCATCTCTCAACCTGCAGAGCCTAGTGACAATTAAACAAACGAAGGATAATTACCTTCTCTGGAGTGCCCAAATTCTGCCATATCTCCATGGACAACAACTTTTTGGTTATGTGGATGGAACTATTACATGTCCTCCTTATGTAATTTATGCCTCTACCCAAATAGATGGGGATCAAAACCTAACGCTCAATGCAGCATATTTCCAATGGTACAATCAAGATCAAGTAATCCTTGGGGTTCTAATGTCATCCCTCTCTGATTCCATCATCACTCACATGGTCCGTCTTGAAACCTCTAGAGTAGTGTAGTGTGCCCTTGAGCGCATGTTTTCTAATCATGCACGAGCATGTGTGCTGGGCATACAACTTGAGTTATCAACGCTCAAGAAAGGCAATCTGTCAATCTTAGATTATTGTTAGAAGGTCATGACCTCTGTGGATACTCTTGCAGCCATAGGTGAACCTCTTCGAGATTCTGAATTTCTCATGTACCTACTGGCTGGACTAGACAACTCTTATACCTCCATGGTCACATCTCTCTCATCCCGAGCTAATCAATTTTCCCTGGTAGATGCCTTTGCTCATCTCCTGAGCTTTGTACTTTGCCATGAACAGTAAACCTCCGCCATTGATCTCTCCATTGGATCCGCCAATATGGCTACTTGAAATGAGTAACCTGAAGGACTTGTGGGTAGGTCCCACAACTAGCGTTCTTTCAACAACAACAGGGATCGTGAAAATCATGGCCGTTGGAGAGGCTCCCAATTTCAGTCTTCTAGTTCCTGATCGATGTACCAATTATGTGGAAAACATGGTCACACTGCAGTCCAGTGCTACCATCTCCTTGATCTTTCTTATCAGGGCTCCCAACCAAACATGCAAGCCTTTGTTGCAGACCCACAGTCTCAGAATGGTCTCAACTGGTATACGGACACTGGATCCACCAACCAGCTCACAAACGATTTCCAAAATCTAAATCTTGGTGCGGATGGCACGGACACTATTCAAGTTGAGGACGGAACAGGTTTGCCTATTAGTCATATTGGTTCCACCAGCCTCTCTTTTCCCCATTCAAACTTTAAATTAAATTCAATTCTACACGTTCCTCACATCAAAAAAATTTAGCGTCTGTCGGTCAATTTACATCTGACAATAATGCTTTCATTGAATTTCATGCTTGGGATTTTTCTATGAAGGACAAGCGCACACAGAAGCTCTTGTTCAAAGGCAAAACTGAAAGTGGTCTCTGCACCTCTAGTTCTACACATCCACTTTCTTCCCGTCCACCCCTCCAAGCTCTCTCCTGTAAGCGTTTTGCCCTGGATGTCTGACGCTCTCACCTTGGCCATGCGGCATACAAGACTGTCAAACATCTAGCCTCTACTGCTTTATTTTCATTATCTTCAAATAAAACACATGTTGTGTGCAATGCTTGTCAGTAGGGTAAAATCCATAGGTTTTCTTTTGTGTCTTCCGATCATATTTCAGAAGGCCTGTTAGATTTAGTATTCTCTGATGTATGAAGTCCTCCTACAATGTCTAAGAATGGAAATAAATACTACGTTTTTTTTGTTGATCATTTTAGCAAGTTTACATGGATTTATTCTATTCCTACTAAATCTTCGACTTTCTCTATTTTTTGTTCATTCCAAAGACACGTTGAAAGACTCCTAAATCAAAAAATCAAATGTGTCCAAACAGATTGGGGGGTGAGTTTCGGACTCTTCACACACTTTTTTGCCAACAAGGCAACCCATCGTATCACTTGCACACGTACTTCAGAACAAAACAGTTCTGTTGAACGCAAACACCATCACATAGTTGAAAGTGGACTCTTTCTCTTGTTCATTCTTCCGTTCCAAAATCCCACTGGGATAATGCTTTCATTATGGTTGTTTTCCTTATAAACCGTTCGCCTACTTCTCCATTGCATTCCCCATCTCCTTTTGAAAAATTATTCAATAGGAAACCCAATCATTCCATTCTATGTGTCTTCGGTTGTACTTGCTGGTCATATTTACGCCCTTTCAACAATCATAAGATTGATTTCCGTTCAAAACAATGTGTATTTATTGGGTTTAAGTAATAATCGTCATTGATATAAATGCATGGATTTATCCATAGGCAAAGTTTACCTCTCACGCCAGTAGTGTTTGATGAGGCTAATTTTCCTTTCTTAGCTCCTTCCAATTCGGATACCCCTTTAATCTCAACCTCTACCACAACTTTCTTCTTTATCTCAATCTCATTCCGTCGAGTCTTCATTCCATAATTTTTCTCCATCTCATTCGATTACAGCTCAGGGTAAAACCCATCCAGTCGTGCCTTCAAATTCATTGCCATCTTTATCACTTCAATTGTCTCCACAACTTTCGGCTTCACCCTTTAATAACGCCGAATTTACTATACCTTCAAATTTGAATACTCTAGCCCCATTAATGCCTTTGGAAAATCCTCCTAATTCTCCTTCCAAAAACTACACTTCTCCATCACTTCTTCATCCGATGCATACTCGTACACAAAATCAGATTTTTAAACAAAAGATTTGTACTTGATGATGCACAAATTGACTTTGCACACCACCTGTTAAGTAACTAATAATAAAAGCAGTAATTAAGTAAAGAGAGAGATAGAACAAAGATTTATAGTGGTTCGATCAATGTGACCTACGTCTACTTTGAATAGCTAGGGTCGCCAGGGTATTTTATTACTTCAAGGTATGCAGTGAGAGCAAGGGAGATACAAGCTATGAGAGTTATAGAGATGCGCTTAACTAAGTGTGATGCCCCCTAAGTATTTGGCGAGACTTACAATTTATAGGCGTTTCCTAACAGATTGAGGTGATTTATCAGTAAATAAGTTGCTACTCTGATGGAGGTGGTGTCATCTTCGCAACGGATAAGGTTGTTGTTAGGCTCTCCTCAAGATCAAGCCAAAAAATGACGTGGCGGATGACTTTTTTCAAGACGGCATGAATGAGGCTCTTGGATGACCTTGCTTACTCCATTAGTGATGTAGCTCCTTGAACCTTAATGAGCTTTATCGGGCGTAGAACCTTTTGGGCTGGACTTACTAGATCTTTTTAAGTTGGACTCGTAATTTAAACTAGGCTCACAACAAGGGTAAGGCCCTTGGGCCTGACTCATCATTTGTCCCCCAATGCCCTGTGTCCAATGAAACTTGGAGAGGAGGGTATTTAGTTGAACTTGAATTTTGGGTGAACCCAAATCTGAAAAAACTTCGGAAGGCTCAAACATATGTTTCTAGGTCTTTTTTGGGCTTTTAATGGTGTCCAGCATGACCAAAGGCGATGAGTTTTGCATCATTGAGAGTTTCGATTTAATATATTATGGACCCTGTTTGGAGATACATATGAAAAGTTATGGTTAAAACAGTGTCAACTCTTCTTGGAGACCGAACTGAACATGGGGAAAGAGCTGGAGGCAAGGGGCTGAGGTGTTGTGCCATTAAGCGAGCTCCCATGGGCGAGTATCATGGGCGAGCATCATGGTGGAGGCGCAAATGGCGTCGGAGAGCAAGCCCCTATGAGCGAGCATCATGGTGAAGACACTGATGGCGTCGGCGAGCAAGCCCTCAGGGGCATTGTCAAGGCCGGGGCGCCGTGTGGCGAGCTGGTGGGGGCCCAACCTGGCGAGGCTGACTGTGGAGCTGATCCAGCGCTCCTAAGTGTTGGGCAAGAATTGATAGTCGTGAAGGAGGCGTCGATACGTACTGGGCATAACCAGACAAGCGTGTAGGAAGTTCCAATGGGTACTAGGTGTAGTCAGGCTGCGTCGCATGTAGCTGGGTCGTCACCGTTGGATGAGCTAGGTGTGGCAGCGGTGGATGTTGGGTATGGAGCTGCGCAAGTGCAAGAGGAAGTAATGTCGGGAGTTAGGCACCACGAGGGGGCGCCAGAAGGTAGGGCGCCATGAGCCTGGTGGCAGGAGTAGGTGCCAAATCCTTATTATTGGGAGCACGCAAGCCTTGTTTGTGCTAGCTGTCAAGCGCGGGAGTGCTATAGCAATGAGGCAGCGGTGCCTAATGGCCGCAAAAAGGATAAGGTCTGGTTATTGACATTCAATCTAATGTATTTGCTCCGGTTGCAGACGGCTTGAGTTTCAAGAGCGTGCCTAGAGATGACAAAAATAATGTTACTCAAACATCAAAATATCTAACATGATTACCTGGAGAGAGGGGAAGACACATAGAGAAATAGAGGTTGCTTGCGTGAGAGTAAAGACAGATTTTGAGGTTGCTCGTGAGAGAGTTGCACATTTGGAGACCGAGCTTCTGGCGACCATGATAGAGTCGATAAGCTGAGGTAGGTTGACTGGAAGGCTGCCCGCATGAGAATAGAGGCAAAATTTGAGGTTCGCTTGTGAGAGAGCTACACCTTGTGAGGCTGAGCTTTTGGCGACCCATGAGAGAGTTACTAAGCTGGAGGTATAGGCTGCCTACTTGAGAGTAGAGCAGAGATAGGCCAAGCTTTTGGCGACCCGCCAGAGAGCTGCTAAGCTGGAGACATAAGCTGCCTGCTTGATAGCAGAGCAGAGATAAACCAAACTTTTGGTGACCCACGAGAGTGCCGCTAATCTGGAGACATTGGCTGCCTGCTTGAGAGCAGAGCAAAGACAGGTCAAGCTTTTGGCCATCCGTGAGAGAGTTGCTAAGCTAGAGACATAGCCTGCCTACTTGAAAGCATAGCAGACAAAGACCAAGCTTTTGGCGATCTATGAGAAAACCGCTAAGATGGAGACATAGGCTGCCTGCTTGAGAGCAGAGCAAAGATAGGTCAAGCTTTTGGCGATTTGCGAGATGATTCACCTCGCTTGGACTTATTGATTTTCTCAGTATTCATATATTTTTAAGCTTTTGTCAATAGTTCTAGAATGCTTTTTGGTGGTTGCTTCATTACTGAAAAGAGGAAACTCGATGAGCGGAGGCCTCCCAAAAAGGAGGTCCTGGTGACTTTGTCATTGGACTCCTCGATTTGGAGGACCTCTTTGTTAAAACGAGTGAGATAACTCCTCAAACTCTCGTTTCGATCCTATTTTATACTGAACATATGGGTGGCAGGATTTTGTTGGTGGCGTCCACCAATGAACTGTGCTACAAAAGATTTGCTCAGTTCGGCGAAGGAGTTTATTGAGGCCGAGGTGAGTTTGGCAAACCATTGTTGCGCAGATCAGTTCAAGGTAGTTAGGAATGTGGTACACATAATTTCGTCGGGGATGTTGTGCAACTGCATTAAGGTCTTGTAGGTTTCGAGGTGATCAAATGGGTCCTTTGTACCGTCGAAAGTTTCTACAAATGACATTTTGAACTTTTGGGGAAGTGGGTAGTTCGCCACATCTAGTATGAAGGGTGTGTCGGTTCGCTTACCAGGTAATCGATGGTTTCAGGTCCTTGTGTCTTCATGACGTTGAAGACGTCGCCTAGCTGATTCTGCATTTCTTTGATTTTTTTGTCCCAGTGGTTGGGAGCTTCTTTGGAATTGTCGTAAAAATGACTCTCATGCTCCACGCTTTGGATTTTGCCCTCATCCTCTTGAAAATGTGGGTCTCCATCATGAGAAAAGGGAGCTCGAGGAGGAGGTGTAGGTCCTTCATGGTGGGCTCCCCTGTGTGCGGCCCCCCAAGTAGGGAGCTCCTTGATGCCTAAGGCGTGGAGCTCCTTGATGCCTAAGGCGTGGAGCTCCTTTAGCTTGAGGTCCTCCGGGTTGTGCTCCTCCGTGTTGTCTAGCGAGCGTCAATTGCAAGATTTGCTGATTCTAGACTACGAGCTATTGTATTGTCTCTAGCATCTGCTGTGCATTTGGAATAAGATTGGATGGTGGAGGAGCAACCTCCTCCTCTTGTGGTGGATTATCTTTAGGCTAATTCATGGATATGGTGCTGATCGCCATAGATACAACAAGAGATGTACTTAGGTGAGAATTTTGTCGTTTCCACAGACAGCGCCAAATTGATGTGTACAAATTGGCTTTGCACACCACATGTTTAGTGACTAATAATAAAAACAGTAATTAAGTAGAGAGAGAGATAGGACAAGAGTTTATTGTGGTTAGGTCAACATGACCTAAGTCCATTTTGAATGACTAGGGTCGCTGAGGTATTTTATTACTTCAAGGTGTGTAGTGAGAGCAGGGGGATACTAGCTATGAGAGTTACAGAGATGTGTTCGATTGAGTGTGATGCTCTCCAAGTATTTGACGAGGCTTACAATTTATAGGCATCTTCTAATAGATTGAGGCGGCTTATCTGTAACTAAGTTGCTACTTTGGTGGAGGTGGCGTCATCTTTGCAACGGATGAGACTGTTGCGGGGCTTTCCTCAAGATCAAGTCAGAAAAGACATGGTAGTTGACTTTTTTCAAGACGACGTGAATGAGACTCTTGGATGACCCTGCTTACTCTTTTGGTGATGTAGCTCCTCGAACCTTGATGAGCTTGACCAGGTGTAGACCCTTTTGGGCTGGACTTAAGGGGTGGCAATCGTGTCGTGTTTTGTCATGTCGTGTCTGGGTTGTGTCATGTTAGGTTCGGGTTAAAAACACATCAACCCAAACACGACCTACGAGCTAAACGAGTTAGGTCATTTGGACATGAACACGACTTGACATGAAACATGGCTAACCCGACATGACCTGTGACCCGAGATTTACACAGGTCATATTCGGGTAAACATGACCCAACCCGTCGAACACGACCCAATCGACATGACCCAACCCAGTATGACCTAACAAAAAAAGGAAAAATTTAGACTTGTTTTACATAAAACAAAGGCATTAAAAACATCACAAATATCTAAAAATAAATATAAATCTCCACAACATTACAAATATTCAAAAAGATTTACAAATATCCCAAAGCAATATTACGAGCATCTTTCAAATCCTCTTCATCTCCTAAATCTAGCCAACATCATGCCAAAAAACATATTAAGCTTTTAACCCCAATAAATATGGAATGGTTATTGTGACAAAAAATAAAAACAAACACATAAGATTGAGAAAAAGAGTTAGGTTTTATGACTCACACACATCAATAATCAAGATCCATAATCACATTTGAACATTGCACCGACGCATCCTCCGCATTTTTGTTCAAAGTCAGATTTATAACATCTTCTACTAGCTCTTCCAATTGCACTTGTGAATTTTCTAAATGACAATAAGGAAAACATATAAATAAGAATTCAATATTTGTAAAAATAATTAAATATCATAGTTAGCAAAAATTATATGTATTACTATTTTTTGCACATAACCAATCCCTAGTGCACATCAAAGCCTCCATAACGTGAGGCTTCAAAGCACTACGGTATTGGTCAAGAATCCACCAATACTAAAAGTTGATTCTGAAGCAACCGTAGAAATTGGAATAGTTAACACATCACGAGCCATAATAGCAAGTTCCGGATAACGATACTGATGAGCTCTCCAATAATCAAGAACAAGAGGTTCTGTTTCTATGTCAACCCTAGGCTCATCCAAATACAATTGCAATTGACTTTTTCGTGTTTTAAGACCAGATGCATTGCTCTCAATGACAAATACCTACATTATCAAAACCACAGACTTTCAAATCATAGACTATCAATAGTATTAATCTAATACAATAAAAACTATAAAACAAAAAATTAAATACCTTTAAATCTAACACAGGTTGTGGTTCAAGATTGGCTCACAAGTAACTAGACCACCACGGGGAACAGTCGATGATTGAGAAGAAGAGGTGACAACAGATTTGCTCATATATACTCATCAAATAGANTATTCAACGGCTCGTAATCAATTTGGTCATCACATTGACATTCTCTTCTAAGCCAAAATTTGTAAGTGTATTGTATGGGGTGAGAAAAAGCTCATAGGAAAGGTTTAAAACAATAAAAGATGACAAGTTTCTTNTACTCATCAAATAGAGAAAAAAGTTTGTCTCGAACATGAAAATACTCAAAAAATCCTTCACCATAAAGGTTCTTATAGCACCACTTCACAAAGTCAAGTTTATAGCGAGGATCAAACACAATTGCAATGACCAATATCACGCTATACTCCAACCAATACTTCTTAAATTTTCCATACATTTGACAAGACATTCTTCTCATAAAAGTATCCAAACTTTGCATTTCTCTATTCAAAGTCAATTGCATACTAAAAACTTGCTGAAAGTGCAACTTTGATGTGGGGTACTTGGAGCCAGAAAAGATAACAGTAGTATCATAGAAATTTTTTAAAAACATCTGAATCTTTTCAACTTTGATCCATTCCTCTTGAGATGGGCAAAGCTTAAAATTAGAATCCACAAGTTGCAAATGACAAAAGGCACAATGGTAGTAAATTGCACTTGCAAGCATCAAATATGTTGAGTTCCATCTAGTAGGAAAATCTTGCCTCAAACTTTTTTTGCTATCTAAAGATGTCTATGCAACACACTCTAAGAATTTTTGTTTTCTTTCCTGAGAACCTTTTAAATACTTGACACTCTCTCTGACTTTTTCCACAGCTAAATCTACTTCTTTCAGCCCCTCTTGCACAATCAAGTTTAGAATATGAGCACAACAACGAATACGAAAAAATTCATCATCACCAAGCAAATCATCTATCAAATTAAGTTGATTCTTAAGCATGTCAATCATGACATCATTTTCAGAAGCATTATCCAAAGTAATTGAAAATGACTTTTTCTCAATCTCATTTTGTCAACAAACCATAAATCTTGTCAACCAGTGCAATGTCACTGTGTGGAGGAGGCATGTAAGAGAAATTCAGAATTCTTTTTTGCAATACCCAATTTTTGTCGATGAAATGTGTTGTGAGACTTTAATATCCATCGGTAGCAATAGATGTAACACCCCAAAATTCACCCTAGAAGGCATTACTATCTAAAAATAACCATTAAGTAATAAACCATTCATCTATTTGACAAGGA